CTGCACTGTAACTGACGCACCGGCCCGTTTGACCTACGTACGCCTTACCGCAAGTCATGGGAATTTCATGCACGACCGAGGGGGCGCAATCTATATATGAACTGTTTTGAGTGTTTCTTTTTGCACATGGCACCCTCATCTTTTTTTGTTGTTCATTTTCTGGGCACCAACGAGGCAGCTTGTGTACGAAGGTATCGAGACGGGTCTCAGTTTTTCTCTGGACCTGGGTGCTTCCTTATAATTCTTTTTCCTCTTAATCTTAGAAACTATAGTGTTTCGGCCTCCTTCCAAAGAAAACTATCGGGGTAGCCCCACGATCTCTGGCGTCCCACCTGAACGATGTACCAATTACTCAATCTCTATCTATTGACGAAAACTTTTAAAATGGGGGAAAAATCGAAAACCCTTACCGCCCAATAAATTCAGCACAATAATAAAAAGGGAAGCACTTTTACTGTTGTGGTTGTTTCAACCGCTCATAAATGGGAGCTACTTTAGTAGAGTATGGATCTCGCAGATTATCAACATTAGCGTCATCGGGATGTCTGGGGCTCCTTAAACAAGTTCTCTTTTCGACTTTCATTTTGCTTAGATATGACGCTTGTATTTACACACTTCCAGCGGAACATAGGGCTGGGCCCGGAATAGGAAGTATTCACTGGCGGCCATAGCTGTGTGCGCGACTGCTGAGCGCGCGCTGATGGCGAGCTTCCACACTTCTTTTGTAACGTGCATTCCGCACCCTCAAGATTGCCGGTCTTAGCAGCCTATTAATGTGGGCTTGTTCTGGGCATGCGCTCTAGACAGCATCAACAAATAAGGCGCCCAGTGAATACGCCTTATACTGGAAGTTAAACATCGCTCACTGATATGTAAAAATACTGTAGCTAGAAAAGTTTCATTTTAGAGCGAAACTCTTAAGCGCCCGTTTTCGGGTTGAGCGGCGACGCCGTTGGCGTTGGCGCAACCGCGCGCGTTGCATAATGGGAAATTTTCCCGCTAAATTCAGCGGAAAACTTTTCCCCCTAAATTTAGTGGGGAAATTTTTCCGCTAAATTTAAGGGGTAAATTTTCGATAAATAGGAAGTTTTCGTAGCTCGTTTCCGCTGTCCCGCAACGCTCTCCGCAACTTGTTACGATACCCGAAACTCCACAGTCAAGGCCATCGGCGCGCAGGCGCAGTAGCGGCCACTTCGTTGCGGAGGGCTTAGCGGAGGTGGAGGCGCGGACTACGAAAACTCCCTAATTTCACACTAAATGTGGTGCAAAAATTTTTGGCTAGATTTCCCGTTAAAGTTAACGGGAGTATTTCTCCGCTAAATTTAGCGGAAAATGTTTGCGAAAATTTTCCGCTAAATGGGAGGGCACCAGCCGAGGAGGAGGGGAGGGTACGGAGGGGGAGGAGGGGTATACCCTTTCCTCGTCCTCCTCAAAAGCTGCACTCTAATTCGGCATTACAGAGAATTGTAAACGTCTTTAATTTTCTATAATGTTAATAAAGTTACCTCCTTTTTGCTACAACACTAGTTATTAGGCCATTCCTGTTCTCCGATTAAAGGCAAAAAATGGCGCGCGTTCTTTTTTTTTTTTTTCATAGGAATGCACAGGAGCACCGCAAAAGTAGGTTGGTTGCTGTCTGCTTCAATTTGAAACCGGAAGTCCCATAGTCACTAGCGTCACGGGCGAAGCGTTGACCAGATCTTATTTGTTGACCTTATATTTACCGTGTCATCAAAGAACTAAGCATTCCCTTTCAAAGAAATGGTGGTCTCTGTCATTTCCTGGGGGGGGGGGGGGGGGGGGGGGAGAAAAAAAGGGGGGGGAGGGAACGCTTCTCCCCCCCCCCCTTTTTTTCCTCGGCATGTCTTTTAATCCGCTCATAGTTTGAATCAGAAATGCCGTTGTTTAATGAGATTTACAGGAGAGGTGATACCCGCCATGATATTTGCACTGCGAGACGGATACAAAATCAAGTTTAACAATAAAGTAAGAGGTGTGAAGACGTCGGTGAGTCTGAATATAAAGAGTAAATTAATTTTGGTGGACGAAGAGCGCGTAGGTGCGGGTCAAGAATGAAGAAGGAATAAGCATGCAGGACAAGGAAAAAACAACATCTTTCAACTAGCAACGGACATATAGGAATGGAGATAAGCCTCCTGCGTTGCCCAGGAGGCGCTGTAAAAAGCGTCTTGTTAGTGTTTTGGGTAGTACAAACTAGAGCGTCTCAAGCTGCCACACATGCAGAAGCGTGCCTGCTCTGGTGCGGAACGCGTTAACGAAAAGTACAAATAAACAAAACAAAAATCTAACGTCGTCGAAGCACAGGTTAAGGCTAAGACTATACGAGCGCGAGCCAAGAAACGCCGTATCACGTGTTCCACAGGAAAATAAGCAAAAAAACAACGACATCGGAACGTCAGATGTTTTTACGTCACCATCGAGAGTGACAGCCTAGTGGAAGTACCATGGACCTGTAACTTTTGTCTTCCGGTGTTGAATCTAGCCGATTTTGGACGTTAAAGGTGTTTTTCTGTTCTTCAGCACTATACAGAAAGAAAAAAGGTGCCTCAAATTGTGCGAGGCCCAATCAGGTGAGCAGGTACTACCCAAAATGGGGGCGCCACAGTTTGTTCAAAGCTTTAGGCCGGGAGATTATAGTCATCTGCCATGAACAGCGGAAACAACAACGTTTCCTCACTTTTTCTCACGAAGACTGAAGTCGAAAGTCTCAAATTAGAGATGACTGCGTCGACCTGACTTTGCATTCTTATCTTATCGTCTCGTCCCATCCCTCCTTTCTTCTTAGTTACTTTCTATTTTCTTGCTTTCCCTTCCTTTTATCTGTTGCTCGATTTTGGAATTCCTATCTGTCCGTTGCAGTACTTCGTTTCACCTTTAGGGTAGACGCAGCTGACTTTACGAGCCGGTGTGACCAATCAAACAGCGTCAAAAGCGCACAGTCATGGTGTTCGTCATGCCTCTGTACGTGTTCTATCATCGCTAGACCAATCATAAACAAAAAAAATTGCGGCCGCTTAGCTCGGCTCTGCCAGTGTATACGTAGCGTGAGCTGCTCCGGTGCAGCGGCAGACTTGGCTACTGCGCAACGGAGGCGCACAGCTGGGCACGCGGCGGCGTCAGTGCGTCTGTCGCAGCTATGACGTCACTCCTCTGGAATGTGCAGACCGGCGAGGCGGGCGCGCCAGCTGTGCGCCGTCTGACGTCACTGCTCCTCGCGCACGCGCAGACCGGCGAGGCGTGCGCGGCGGCAGCGGCTCCGGCGCGCCAGCTGTGCGCGTCGCTGCTCCTCGCGCTTGCGCAGCACGGCTCTTTGACAGCCACGCGAAACTGCTCAACCTCGGCCAGCTCACGCTCCAAAATACCTAATGACTTGCGCATTTGACACAGCTTGATTGGTCCCTATCAGCTCGTAGCGTCGGCTGTGGATGGACTTGAGCTGAAACAAAGTATAATTGAAGGATGCGGTTGTGTTTGTATTTGTCCTGCGTGTTTCTTATTCCTTCAATCTTGAATTAACTTTGTCTTGAAAACCCACTCGCTGATTTTGGCTAGATCACTTTGCGAGTGAAACGTAGTAAGCCATCTGTTTTCGCTATGACTCTTTGAACTTTAAGCACTGCATTCATGAGAAAGTCAACTGACGTCGGGGGAGAACAAAAGAGGGAAGGCATCGGTATGTACAACAAAGGGCAGGGCGCCAACAACACATTGTTGCGGAGATGCCGGAAGTCACAGGAGCAAATGCGAAAGAGCAGTACAAAAAAAAAAACAGTCGACTAGAGCCATTAAGGAGCAGTGTTGAGTAGAGTAAATCCAAAACCAAAGTAAATGAGAAATTATATACATTGAGAAAAATAGTAAGTTTTTTAAAGTACGTCTATAAACAAAGTAAATGAGAAGTTATATACTATACGAAAAGTAGTAAGTACACCGGCTGCAATGTACTCCATGTAAAGTACTATAAATACAATGAGGTTCCAGTTAACTACAAGTACTCCTTAACTTTCTTGGTGTCCTTTCATTCCCCTATGAAACTTTTTTTTTAAATTGGTATTCATTGCCCAAGGATAATCAGGGGTGCATCGGTTATTTCCGGAAATGGCGGAGAAGATTGGATGTCAAGTGGCTTCAGAGTTGACAAAGCATCATTTTGTGATACAAATTTAACTAGACCAAATTTTATATGCGTTGTTTTGTATTTCGGGGGAATCGGTGATCGAGTGTGCTAGCGCACTGGAGCTCGGAGGGCAAAGAGCGAGAGCTTCGGTCTATAGTATCCAAGGATCCTGGGTTCAATCCCCACCCCTGCCCGTTTCGATCTGGATGAGCATTGTCAAGGTGTGCGGTCGTGTATCACTACTGCGTGGTGCACGTTAAAGACCCCGGCCAAGCGATTGTACTGCATTGGCCGAATTCCGCATCTATACAGCTGAGAGACAAATTCGCCCATTGAGTCACACTAACTTCCGGCTGTATAAACGTACAAACAGCACGTTTATTAATTATATTGCATTTAAATCGAAGACCCGTCAAGAAAGGAAGATTTAGATGAGGCTCAACACGAGCAAAAGGTACAATGCTCTTCGGAGCAAATTAAGCGTTAATTAGCTTTTCTTTTTATCTTACACTTCGCTCGTCGTTCGCAAGTTACGTAACAGCAAAACGAGAAATGAAAAGCAAATGAAGCTTTCTTTTTTTTAAATAGCTAAAAAATCAAGTTGTATTCTTTTCAGTATGGGTGCGTATGGCAAAGAGGAAATAATCGAGAAAATGCAGATGAATGAACCGTACTTGATGAAATGAATCAAAGTTTCACGAACCCGCTGAAATTCAAAATGAACCGCGGAGCCAGGATTTCAACTCCTTGACTTCTGCTATATATATATATCTAATTATATAGAATTTCTTTTTCACTAAGTCGGAGTTTTGAGTTTTCGCACGAGTAAGCGACGTTAAAACGATATTTTTCATCCTCTTACCTGGATTTTTCCGTACCAGCATAGCCACTTTGGGTAGGGATATCTTCGGATTTAACGCGGTGCTTCTATGCTTTCCCGCTATTTAAGCGTGGGCCGCACATAATTTGTGCCCTCTCCCTCAGTGAGGCGCGTTATCAAAGCAGTGACGCACTTCCGCATTCACTACGAATCTTAACGGCTTAGGGTGAGCGGTCCTTTGAAGTTAGTATACACTTTAAATGTCAACAAGAGCAATAAATACAATGCTTCAGTTAAGAATGAAAGAAGTGCGTGGTCCGCGTCACGTTTATTCCTGGACGCTTTATGCTACCGCAGTTCCTCGGAAGTTAGCCCCCGAGCTGGAAGGGGTGATCCAGCAACTATTGCACTTTCACTAACTACCGCTTGGAAGAGTGGTGAACAACATGGTAACCGGACAAAAACTCACGGGACAAAAGCTTACCGGACTGAAGCTCACCGGACAAAAGTTCACCGGACAAAAGCTCACCCGTTTTTTTCACATACCCGGACAAAAGCTCACCTCCTTTATTTTTTTTTTCTACCCGGGCAAAACACGGGTTAGGGTAAAGTGAGGACGCGATGGACATTGCACCATTTTTAGGAGAACTGGCGTTCCATCCCATGCAAAGGTGTCGACAGATAAGCCAAAACAGGCAGAGAAGCAACGATTTGGGACCACAATTTAGTTCACTAAAGCTGAGTGGAGCTGATAAGATCAAGTTTGCCTGACTCAAGGTATGCCGGAGCACCCTTGTGCCGCGCCCAAGAAACTTCGTGAACCGAAATTTTTGAACCCGAAGAGTGAGCGAAGAAGCGAAGTCACCCTTCGGTGACCTCGCTTTTTCATTGTGATTATGTCACGCTAAACGCGCACATAAAGCTTAGGCACAACGTGTCTTCATTACTAATGTATGGGTTTTCAGGGGTTCAGGGTAATACTTGAAGTGGATGATGAAGAGAATTAAATTCTTTCCGTCATTGTGCGTCGTAAATATATTTGAAATCAAGGATTATCTCAGGATCAGGGGAAAGGGAAACTCAAGCAAAACTGCAATAGAAAAACTATTGAGTTGCGAATTTTTTTTAATATTTTGAAGGAACGGGAGTCGGGCCTTTTGGAAAGAATGCGAGAGCGATGAGATTTTAGATAGGCTGGCGTTCCTTCCACCACAGCTTCTGCCCGGAGAACTAACATGACATCAGGGAAAAGTCTACCGGTGACATCGGAGACCTGCTGCACTACTTTGACTGCACGCATGTCAACGGCCCCTTCCTTTGTGCTTCTGTTCGTTCTGCGACGGCACCCAGAGCGAATTCTTCCCTTTGCCTGACTGTAAGCCGACGACGACCGGAGTTTCCCCCGGGAAGGTGGAATATGTACGACGCCACTCTTCGAGAGAAAGACCGGACGGACAACACCCATAAAGGATGGAATACCAGGTTCCAGAAGCTTGTCGGCCATGCCCACCTCAGCCTATGGAGGCTGATTGAATGCCAGCAGTAAAATCAGGCGCTCGTTGCCACGGCATTGAAACAGGCCCGGAAAGGTGAGCCCCCAGTGAATCGGGTGCGAAAAACCGCTCTGCGGCTGCACAATCGTCTGAAAAAAATAATTGCAAGGGGTTCCAGGCACACCGAGATCTACCAAGACTGCTGGAGCTAGTGGAGGACTGCATTCGCTTCTAACCAATCGATAAATAAACTTGTTTCTACTCTTATCAACAAACCATGCACCTGTCAGATTTAATATGTCGTTGCATTTTAATGTCGTACACATGCACCTAAGTCGCCCGCACTCGTGTTAAGAGCAACATCCAATTTTCTCCTGGTAAACTTTTGTTCGGATCTGTGAAAAGATGGGTGAGCTTTTGTTCGGTGAGTTTCTGTCCGGTGAACTTTAGTCCGGTGAGCTTTTGTCCGGGATTCGCACAACATACGGCCCGCAACTCTTCTCCCAAATACTGTTTGTTGCTGTTTGTGGGCAGGGCGATGAGGATAATCATTTAATGTAAACATTTAGTACGGGATTAAATATTACTTTTGACACGTGAATGTAAAGTTTATTAGATCAATCACTCTCTCATAAATTGGGTACTCACCGCAGTGCTCCCCCTACTTACAATAAAAATCACTTTGGTACAAAAACATAGCATTAATAATTAGCAAAAATATTTTTATAACTTCTTTTTTTATAATTTTAGATTATCGTAATATAGAGCAGCTGTATTTAGTTTGCTGGTCAATTAATGCCAGTAGCAAAATGCTGGAAATGATCGGAAACGTCTGTATGAGAACGGAACCACTTTATTTGGTAAATTGGTCTCAGGAACTTTAAAAAAAAATGAGAAAAAAAAACGAAACAAAATGTGCCCATACATCATCGATTCTTCTGATTTACTGCAGTCGTATGGCAAATCTTGTAGTTCGTTGTATTCTTGAATTGTGCTCGTTTTCACTCGTGTGGTTCGCAGAACTTTTCGTGAGGTGCCTTCGAAGTACATTTTTCAACGGATGTAACACATATTTTATACACTACAGAATTTTACATATCATTGGGGAGGGATTCTGTCTTATTTATATGATCATAATTTTTTATATCGAAGAACAAACTGTACATTTTGATTAACTTGGGCACTATCCGTCGTGGCAATACACCAAACAGTTTATTCGAGTAAGGAACAAGCAGTTTACACGTCATCATCTTGAACTTTTGGCACAAGAATAGCGGTGTATGATAGAATGGAGTAGTGTCATCACAAATTGTTACAAGCGTAACGTTTCGGTATTATGACCACATTTGTATATTAAATACACGGGCTTCTATGGGAGCGCTGTCATAACCCTCTAAGAGAGGGCGCAAGCATACAATGGGAAACATTTGTGGGGATAAGCCCAGACCATATTCACCCCCTGAATGTTTTCTTCCGGTCACACTCTTTGTTCATGATTCACGTAAATAAACTGCTCTATCTTTGTTTATGCGCGCGTTGTTATTTGTTTGTCGTTGCAGCTGCGATCACTGGATTCTGCTTTGCAAACGGACCGACCGTAATGAATTGCTTCAGCTGTTGGGGTGAAGAAACGGGGCTCGCAAAGCTCGAGGACGTCACACAGCCTAGAGTTTTCCATTGCGTCGTCTGCTTTCGTAGACTCCGAGTCCGCTAGAGGCGCCACTGTAACGTTCGCCGCCGCTGCCATAGGTTTTCGGAGGAGTTTTCAGTATTGGCGAAGCTCAGTGATGTGATTGCTGTGCCAATTGCGCCGAACTGCGCCAAGGGGCTAACCCCGCTACATCCTGCTACATTTTACCAAAATGTGGGTAACCTGCGCCGAGCCTGCGCCAAAAAACCAATTTCGGTCGCCTTTCAAAATTGAAACTAAACTGAGTACCGTAATTGAGCATGCTTGTGTTATGTGCTGCAGGTGGCCGTACGACTCAACGTACCCTGCATCAATTGTACATCCGGTCTTGCATGGTTTTCCCGCCGTGCAAGACCGTTACCGCTTTGTGTAACGAACAAGAGTCGTTACACAAAGCGCTCCAAGGAATTTCTGACCCTGGCTCGCAATGTCTCGCATCAATGCGCTCAGTTTTTTTTTTTTCTTTTTTTTATGTGTGTTTAGCTTGTACCTTGTCTTCCGTCCTGGTAAGCACGCGCCGCTGCACTGTTTTTTGTCGTATGGCCGGCAGTTAAATTTTGCATACTATGTTGGGAATCAGTTAGTGACGAAGCGGAGTGGCATGGTTTCGGTTTCGATCGAACGGCCGTTGTCTCCGCTCGCGGGACGAAGCACGCGCAACTGCAAGCCTGCCGAAGTTGCCCCCCTATGTGCATGTGAACATGATTGCACGACAGAGGCACCAGCCGGGACGCTTGCTTACTTTTGACGAAAATCTGGCGCATAGTAAACCAGTAAAACTGTGGCCAGCGGTTTTTCGGAATCGCTCGGCAATGCCTGCGGCAGTGTACACTTTTGGAATGTCTCAGCAGTAAAAACACAGCAGAAAGTTCTGTCACATCAGAACACAGCACAATACAAAGTACCCTTCGTTTGTACAGCACTTAAAACGAAAATTTTTATTTTTCTAAGAATATCTGCTCCAAAAGCCACTTTTGCTGCTCCAAAACATTGTTTTGGTTGGTCCAAAGGCTACATTTGCTGCTCCAAAACACTGTTTTGACTGCTCCGAAAAGTGCTCCAAAATGGCTTAGGCCAATCACATCACTGGAAGCTATATCGTTTTTGGTTCCATCATGCATGACAGACCACTGAATTGCTCGAAATTACCGATCACTAGGGAGCTGAAAGAAAACCGTTCCCGTGACATGGCCAGCTTTCTGGGACACGCTGGTTTAGTTCCCGATTCTCACGACACGGGGCGTATCAACCTTCGGCAACCTAAAGCTACACTGTACTAAAGCCCCTTCATGTTTTAAAAGTAGCGCAAAGTGCGTCGATGCACGAGGCACGTGCAACGTCCAGCCCTTGGGAAGATCATGGCGGTACAGCGCAGCACGGAACTAGATTTCAGACGCCATGTTCCTCCCAGAAGTGGCGCGCGGCACGTGTCTTTTTTATTTTTATTTATTGTTTTTTTTATTATTAATATGTGTCATACGATGTTTTTTTTTTCAAAATCTCCATGCCAACACCCATTATGTTTCCTACGATGTTTCTCAAAATCTCCATGCCAACACCCATTTCCGCGGTTATCGCCTAAGAGACCAAAAATGCGGCCGTAACTTAATTCTTGAGTAACTTAATTGCTTGGGTAGTGACATCTCAGCCGTTTTTCCGCCCAATCGTTTTTTCATGCATTTTGAATTCCGCGGAATCTGGTGTCACTCAGCTCGAGCGCGTAGCTTCGGCTAATGCATAAACGCCATTGTACCGTCCAAGTCACGCACCGAGTGCGCGAGAGCGTCACGCGGTGGCACATTCAGGGCAACAATGGATGTCTTCACCCTCAGACAGACAGACATGTAGGCACCCTAGAACAAGATAAACGGGTAATTCGAAGCGCGCGCCCGCTATCTGAACCTCCTCTCCTGTGCATCTCTCCGGCCTCCCACCTTTTTCACCGTTTGCGTCTGGCCTAATACTTTTCTATGGGGAATAACATTCCACTCCGCTCATTTGCATTAGACAGAACGCCTACAGCGCCGAATCCAGCCCTGACGGAGGGGAGGTCCGCGCCGAGTCTTCTTTTTTCTTTTGGCAAATAAGCTATCATCATCATCAGTCGCAGACATTTCACGACTACGCGCTATGCTACGCCGCGGTTGGTGCGCCTCTGCAAGCCAGTGTCTCGAGGTGTGAAACAACGTCAAATGTGTTGCGTGGTGTTTTCGTTTGATACTTTTTCGAAACGATGCACACGATAAACCCCTAATTTCAGCAAACATTAGTTTAGTTTAGGATTCTGCATTTGGCTTTTAGAAACAAAAAATCTCTCCAATTATGTGTATTTCGCCGCTTTGCGTTCAAGAGACAATCTGTTATTTTCTGTATTGCGTATGTTATTTCGGTGATGTGCGCCACTAGTATGGCGTAGTTTTGGAATTTGTGTCCTCTAAACGAGGAAACACTATTCTTCTTTCTTTTAAGGCGCTACCGGCTGCTGGTCAGCAAAGCATTTTGTCTTTAGTCCTTAGTTCTTAGTCTTCATTTATTTGGCTCTGGGGAGCCGCGGAAAAGCAGCAGCCTGTCCCATGGAGGCCCGCGGTGCCGCGTCTAGTGAACATGATAATGGGATGAGTATATACAGGCATGATGACGATTACATGGATTGTTTGTATTGGGGAGGATGGCAGTCCGATTCGCAGAAGTCCAGATTTCGTGGAGGTGGGTTGGGCGGGTCAGCAGCGAGCCATGTTATATTTTTAGTCATTTCTAGTTATACAAGCGTGAAAGAATTTTGTTCAGTTTATGTCTGTAACCGAGCTAAAACTTTACGTACACAGGCAAATTCAAAGCAAAATATATACAATGCAAGTGTTTCTGATCCTACGTAACAATTGCTTATATTTGAAATCCAGGGCACAAATTCTGATTGCAAACATTTAGTTATTATATAGTCATATTATAACCGCCACATTCTTAGTCAATATTCTGTCACAAACGCAGCGTACAAATCTTTTGGTCGATAAGCCTATGTAAAGGTAGGTCAGACTTGTACACGTTACTGAAAAATAGTAAGGAATTACATTTACAATTACTCAAGGCTAAATTGTAATTTATTACAATTACAATTACTCAAGGCTAAATTGTAATTTATTACAATTACAATTACCCTCCCATAAAAGTAAGTGACCGTTACCCCAAAAGGTAATCCGTTACTTTCGTGGCGTTACTTTCAAATATATTGTCTTCAGTTAAGAAACAAAGGGGAGCCGGTTATTCAAGTTCTTATGGTTGCAAACTGTTCCATTTAATGACCCTGAGTATTTTGAGCAACAGCTGACTTTCGAAAGTCTCGTCAGACATATTGCGTTATTTCTTACTCAGTCCTGTTTTCTAAGAGAAGATGACAAGTGTGCAGCAACGAACGAGGATGCTTGTGACAATAACACCTTCACATATTATCACATCTCATTTAGCGGATTTTAGGGTAAACGAAGTGTTCTCTCGTGTTGTGGCATTATGAAAATGGTCGTAGTCACTATAACCGAGGAGGGCATTGTGAGTTATTGTCTGTGCACCTACTTCCTCGAGCTTCTTGAAGAGGCACACAGTCACTTGGTGTCCTCCTCTCCCCGTCTTCGATCGCAGAAAAAAAAAGGACTACAAAAGCGGATATAACTTGTCCCCCCCCCCCCCTTTTTTTTTTCTTTTTCTTTTTGTAGAGATGTTTATTTGAACTTTTTGACATTGTTTTTAGAGTCTAAAAAAAAATAGATTCAGGGGCTTCGTGTTGGAAAAAAAAAAAAAAGGCTTCGCGGAACTGAAGAGTGCCAAGCCTCCCTTTTCGCAGGTCAATTCGCATGACAGTGTCACTGTGCCTCGGCTTTACCAAACCAAAAACAAATGCTTTAGAAGCGGGGTGGGGGGGTTGGTCCTGTAAAATATGTAACGGATTACAAGGAATCTGTTACGTAAAAAATGTAAGGTAATTACTTTAAAATTACTCTAGAAAATATGTAATTATTCCGTTACTAAATTACTCAATAAATGTAAGGGATTACAGGTAATTTTGTTACTTGTAACGGACTACGTACAAGTCTGGGTAGTTTGGCCACGAGCTTCTTAGTGCACGGCGGAGTGCTAACATTACAGGGGCAAAAAGCGGGCCGAATTTGAAAGCCTCGAGGAATTAAAATTATTAATTAAAATACCGCAATTTCAACTGCGGTGTGTGCTATGAGTCGGCAGCTATTATATTCCTAGGGAACTTTACGATTCTTCAATTCAGTGAGAAGAAATTTAAAATGTTGTCAAAGTGGCCCATAGGACCCAATGCAACAATATTATATCGGGCCCAGGAATAAAAAGTATACAATCCTGAGGTTCAGTAGGTATAAAATAAGAGTGTATTAGTGCCCTTTTTATATATCCCGGGGACCTTAAGGGTTTCTGCAGTAGTTTCGCTGAAATTATCATTTTAGTGCGATTGGCTGAGAATAGCGAAGAGAGGGCGCAAGGAGACCGTGTCCAGGAATGCTGGGGATGAGTCCTCGAGTGCGGGCCGGAGCGCTTGGGGGATTTAGTAAGTGGTCTATAAGCCCTCGGAATTCTGAGATCATCGCAACCCCTGTGCAAGAAGCAGGCGAAATTTCACTCCGCATTGAAACCATGGCCGCAATCACGACGGGTTTACAATTCACAGAGCAGCGAAGCCGTTATTGCGGAAAGCAACATCTTTATTCTGCATCAACAAGCGCAAACGAATAAATCGAACCGGATCAAAGAAAATAGTTGGCGTGGGAAATTAGACTTAGATCAGTCCCGCTACAAAGCACCTGCACAGCGCTTCATGAAGGCGCGTAGTTGCGACAGTTGTTTGCTGCAAACTACGTCGGTTTAAGAGATCTTCCCCTAAACACCTTGCAATCATAAAACCAGACAAGCTGAACGAGCTGCGTTTCTTGAGCATGCCGGAAAAGCCGGCAGCCAGGTTTGTTATCGTTTCAAACCAAAACGGAAAAGGCAAGCTCGGGATATCTTTTTAAACAACAGTGACTCTGTCAAGATTATTTGTTTTTCAAACATTAGAAAAGAAAATATTTTCGGGAACAATACTATGACGGCCACGAAGAACCATTTTTTTCTGGTTCTTCGTGGCCGTCCGACCGAGAATTTCCGGTGCCCGCAATTATGACGCGGAAAAGCAAGATCCAGAAAATTGTCATAAAGATCGGTGCTTTTCTCCATATATGTTGTCCATCTTTAAGAAGATATAGACCGAAACGTGTTCGAGTATTGTTCGATCGCCATTTTATTGCCTACATTGAGTCAATTTAAAAGGGTCTCTTGGGCGGAACGTACGGATGGATGTCGAGGGAACCATAAGGAAGATGCTCCTTGATCCAATCCTGACGGTTGTAGCAAACGCGGTTGACGCAAAACTGCAAATAGAGTAGCACGCGTTAAGGGCTGCACGAACAGGACTCGCTCCCTTGCGTGCACGACAGAAAGAGCGTACAGGCTTTCCGACAGCGTTGAGGGCTACACAAACTGGACGTGCTTTCAAGCGTAGACGGCAAAAAGAGCGTGCAGGCTTGCCAAGAGCGTTGACTGCTGCACAAACAAGACGCGCTCTCTTGTGTGCATGGCGAAAAGAGTGGGCAGGCTTGCGAAGAAATGAGAACGTTACGGAGCGCGCGTTCGTTTTGAACCGTGCAAACAGAACGACTTCCTTCTCGCTTTGTCACTGTCGTTCTCTCCCCTTTCGTTTTTTCAGGATGCTGGGGACTGACAACAACAGCGGAGACCTTGACGACGGCAGGCAGAGCGTAAGGGAGGCTACGTCCTGGTTTTAAGGACACTGACATCACACAAAATATTTTAACAGCCCCCCCCCCCCAAAAAAAAAAAAGAGAACAAAAAAAAGCTTATGGATGGGGGACTGTAGGCACTGCGCGATACATCAAGATTTCCCATTTAATTAAACAACTGACTATACAGTGTGCTTGATTTTAACTCGAAAAAAAGTTCTTCTTAAAGAGGATTAAACTTAGACGTGTGCCGTCTTCACCGTAGATGAGGGGATAATCGTCGTAGTAAGCTGGCTAATTAACTGAAATGTGTTAATGGACTTATTAATTATTGGTTTTAGGATTCACATTACAATTGCAGTATTGACAGCAATTACTGTTAGAGGTCAGATCAGCTGAAAAAAAAATATTGTGAAAATTTGTTTTTAAGATATGAATCGATCTATTTTAACGTTTTTTCGCTCGATTTAAAAATTGAGCTCTAAAAGAGTGCCGCAAGCCCTGCCCACAATGATGGTTAGAATACTGACGTAGTCGTTTCAATCATGACGTCACTATGTCGACAGCGTCTCTTTGGGAATCGCGCCGACGACACAAGCGAAGCTGCGTCTGAAACAACAACGTCCCTCTCTAAGCGTCACTGTAAGTAGAATTTGTAACGCCTTTTTTTTTTTTTTTTTGCGCAATTATTAAATTGGGTGTGGAAAAAACAAAAATGGTGCGATTATTGGGGCCTTTTAGCAAACCGTTACCGTGTTCCGTGTACCGCACTACCGGAGCCTTTGAAGCACGCTTTAATTTCTAATTAATCAAATTGAATCCGTACAAAATCATGGCGCACGTTTTATATTGTTTAATTTCTCGCGTTTTTCCAGTGTATCATCCATGAAACTAACTTTACATCTTCCGAATCTTTCATTGCGTAGAAAATTATCTCGTTTGTCCTTATTTCACAAAATTTATTATCACAACCAGCATCTAAGTGAAGAGCTTTTTTCTGAACCATCGTATGTATCCCATCGAAATGATCATCACCATAAAGTCAACGTTCCTTTCAGTCGCACGAAGCTCTTTTTTGATTCTTTTATCTCAAGAACTACTAATGACTGGAACCACCTGCCCACCTCCATCGCCACAATCACAGACGCTCCTGCATTCAAGTCTGCCATTGAAAACTATTATGTTAACTAATATGTGTTGAATTCTATTTTTTGTACTTTTGTTTTTCCCCCACTCCCTTCTGTAATGCCGTGTGGCCTTGAAGGTATTGAAATAAATAAAAAAATAAATAAATAAAGCGCACGATTCGCGGTTCCAGTAGATCACCCGGGCGCGCGCTTCAAAGGCTACGGTAGTGCGGTAAGCGGAACACGGTAACGGTTTGCTAAAGTTCCTCATAGAGACTTTTAGCAAGTCGTTTTTCGGTCCCACGGTTCGTAAATCATGAACCTAGCAGCTGGTCCGTTCCGTGAAACCGTACTTGAAATTTGACATATTTTAGCCAATCGTGAAACTGGCGCAGCCGTGTAAACGAGGATGATGATTGTGTTTGACCGGTGGCGCCATCTTCTAGTTAACATGTGAAACATTCTGCAACATGTAAGTCCCTGGCGTCTTCCGGCCTATGCGGCTGATGTAAACAAGACGGCCGACGTAACATTGCCGGTCGGAATTACAAGAACTGCGAAGCTAGATAGAGTAAAGGCCGGTTCTCGCATGCAGCGAAACGCTGATGTAGCGCTGAGTGAGTGAGAAAACGTATTTATTAAAGGAATGGTGTACATCACGATTTCTTGATAAAGTCATCCAATCGTGACGGGGGAAGGGGATTATTGGAAGGGTAGGGGGAGGAGGCTAAATGTAACAGGCGATCCCCGATGAGCGGACGAAACTAATCAGGGTATCGAGAATGTGTTTGCGGTGTGGGTGCTCGAGCATGGGGCGGGTCCAGTCCTCGTACGTAGCTGGTCTTGCCTCTTCAGGGAGTGAGTTTATGGCGTCGTTCCGATGCTCTGCGACCCCCTCGCACGTCCAGACGAGATGGGTGCACGTGCTGCTCGCGTGGGTAAGCTACTTATCGCCTGCCATGAACAACAGTATTGTCGATGCGATACAAAGCCGGTGAACGCTCCCGGCAGTACGCGCTCAGCGCGAGGTCAGCGCAATGCTTGTAGCGCTCCGCTGCATGTGTGAACAGGCCTTAAAACGTATCTGAACGACCGTAAAGGTATGCGGTGTGTCTCCATCATTTCGAATTTGAACGATCGTTCACGTTGTGTGCCGTCGAACCAAATAATTACGTCTGCTCACGATCGCCACAGCAGCTATAGGCTGCCCGCAGATCGCAAACATTTACTAGCATGCGTAGTTTACAGCATTCACGATCGCTTACCATTATGAGAAGTCCACGATACACATATATATATATATATATATATATATATATACAGGGTGTTTTTTTTTAATCTTAACAGATTTGTTTAAAAAAAGCCGTGAAAGTTGTACTTATGCCGCTTGTGGAGGTGAGTTATACGGCCAGGGGGACATATTATAGGTGACTAATCGTAACAATCAGTCGACTATTTAATTAAAATTTATTAATTAGCTTTTTCATTAATGAAAATATACATATGGTTTCAAATAGAAACTTGCGCAGCGTCATCGAAAACCACAAAATCAGTCATTTTCAGAAAGACTTTGAGCGCGTGAGAAGCGTAGTAGTGCACTAAAGTTACCACTCGTGGAGCAGGTACAACGCTAGTGGTTGCGATAAGGCCCCCGCGCGATTTTTCCGTCTCTTATGTAGACCCAGGCTCACGACCTAACGCACTACGGCCCTTCTTTTTGAAACACCGACGAAATCCGGGGTCATCTCGCCTCCTGGTTTTTTATCCTCCCTCGGACAACATGACGGCGCACGACGTATGTAGCCCTGAGGATGATCGGTGAGCCGAGGAATCGGACGAAGCTCTCTTTTTCAGGTGCCCGACGACCTCTCAGACTTCGAAAAGGACATCGTCAATTGATCAAAACAACTGGGTTTGGTGTTTGTGTATTCATACTTTTGCTTGTGACTCCACCGGGGCAGCCTTTCACGCAGAACCGGCGCGACGTGGCGCCTCGCATCGCTCACATAAGTTTACTGCGCGTTTTTTTTTTTTTTCGACCACACACCGTTCCAAAGGATTTGTGATCCCTGAAGGAGCCCTAAAAGAACCTAAAACTCAAAAGTGAAGCGTCGTCTACTCACGGCGATAGGCGGCACGCATGGAGCGGTTGTTCGCAGGACGCGAGCGAACACAACACGGAGGCGTGAGATAAACTCGAGTTGCAGAACGACTCAATCTTTGACGTCACTGCACTGGAGCGTATCGCGCGGGAACTTCAAATTTCACTTTTAGAAATTGATTTTCTACTTCCTTTTCTTTTTTTTTTTCACTTCACACTTGCTGAGTTTCCAAGTTTGGAATTTTGAAGGTAATGTCGAGCCATCGCTTTCAATCGTTCCAGATAATAAAAAAAATGATTTTGACCTGTCTGTGCCTCTTTAAAGCACGATCCAAACCAACGCGTTTTTGTGTGCCCGTAGGTCGTGCGCTTCCCGGAAATTGCGTATTTTATGACGTCGCGCTAATTCCTTGCGCCCTCCGGGCGCGCATAAGAAAGTTGGATGATTTCAACTTTTTCTGAACGCGCACGAAAACGCGCTGTGTCGTAGGAGGTAACTTTTCTCCCGGCCAATCGGTGGAGGGAGTTCCGGCTGCTCTCTTCATCGCCGTCTGGTGCAGATGCTCTCCGCTCGGCCGAAGGTCCTAACCGACGCGCATGGTTCTTACTGATAAGGCGGAACACCTGTTTAGACCTCACAATTAAGTCTGCGCTTTGGCGTTACGCAATGCAAGCATGACGCTTTGCATTGCGTACTGCCACAGCGCAGACTTCATTTTTAGGCCTAAACGGATGTTCCTCTTCTTCATTCGCTGAGCTGATTTCGTAGATCGGAAAGAATGACTCTTTGAGTGTTTTGCGGGTAAGTAGACGCGCAGGAATTTCTTAGAATGTAGTCAAAGGCAAGTGTGTGAACCTTTAATGTCTCCGGTCGTAACCAGATGAAGGTGTGTGAACGCCTTATTACCACTTTCTGCGATAGTCTATTTAGGGTCATAACATAAATCATACATTCAATGTTTGCTCCTAAAAAAGCAAACATTACATTCATGTGTGGCCCATTTTTTCTATAATGATCAGTAACAAAGGTCGATTGCCTCGGAACTATCGCAGAGACCACAGGGCGCCGTCGCTCGAGGATGGACAGGATTCTGCCTTTCCTCAGTCCTCGGAGCCGTTTTCATTGAGAGGTTGGCCTTCTTAGGGATATTTTGACAGTCTGGCAACGACAGCAGCGTAGTCTGACAACCGGGGGATGGCTACTTTCGTCCGTCCTTTTGTTGCTCCGACACATAGGAACTTTATACGATTTCACAAAAATAAGAAAGACATAGAACTAACGCCATTTTGCGTTATCGCGAAATTCGCTGGTTTCAGCGGGCGACCAGCTCCGCCCATTGGCCAAACTTTGTCAGCATAAACGGCTCTGTCAGTCCTTAGGGTGCCTCCATCTGCCGGCGGCTTCCGCTGACAGGGTAGACACCAATGGAGCCAATGGAGCGCCACAATATGGCGCCTGAGTTCAGTATTAGCTACACATTGGGTGGTGGCCCTGTGAGGGTATGTGACAAAGTCGTGGTACAAAAACGTTGTGCTTAGTGAAAGGTCTGGAAAGATAGACGCAATATGACGCCAGTGAGAACATCGCACAGTTCGCCACAAAATGGCGGGTATCTCCACCCTGTCAGCGGAGCGACCGGCAAATGGAAGCACCCTATCAGTCCTCGTCAACAACGCCCTCTCCGTGTCTCGATCTTTGATACCGATTTTCGTCAAGAAATTGGCAAGGCATCATTTTAATGTTTTTTTTTTCTTCTTTAAGATGCTTAAAGCCCATAGATTAGCATATGACCATAAATAGCCTATCGTAGTAAGTTGTTTATTGTCCCTCCTCTTTTTTAATCTTGTCTGTCAGAAAACGAGTCTGTCTAGAAAGAAGTGGGAAGAGTTCTGAAAGGGGACGCTCACCTTATTTTCAACGCCGCATCGAAGACCTTGCATCGATGTAGTTTTATACACTGTGGCCCTTAGAAAGGTCTTCCGGATACAGCAGGTTAACTCGCAGTTGTACACTGGTTTGAAGCGGTGCACCCCAGAGTCTTCTTGTCGCTTGATATACAAAGGGAAACACGCGAGAAGTCACATTACACGGCCCTGTTTAGGGCAATCTCAACCGAACACGTGAAGAGGGCCTTTAATTGCTATGAAAACATTTCCATAAGCTTGATCTTGATGACAAAGACCATGGAGTACCAAATGTATCTTCCAAAACCCACACACTTCTTTTTTTTTTTTTTTTTTTCTAAATTTAGCGAAGAAATTGAATCAGTTTATTTGTCACAAGTCGTCTATCCCTCAATATATATTTAACGAGGAATCCAGATCTGTGTTTAGACCATGTGACGTTGATTCCTACGCTAAATTTAGCGAGGAAATTAGATTAATTTATTGGTCGATCGCGTGACATCAGGTCACGTGACGTCGATTTCTTAATTTAGAGAGAAAACTTGATTTATGTAGAGGCCACGTGATGTCAAGTCCCGACGTCGATTTCCCCGCTAAATTTAACAGGGAAACTGCATCGTGTAACGTTCGCAGCATATCGATCGTTCGTGACAATTTTCTCGAGAAAATTAATGTCATGTGACCTGACGTCTACCTGTCTAAACGCATCACGTTTAGACATTCAAGTCACCCGTTAAATTTCGCAGATAAATTGGCGTCACATTTCCTATACACCAATTCAGTTTCCCCGCTAGATTTGGCGGGAAAACACATCATAAAACCATGCTCCCGCTGTCTAAACGCATCCCGTTGTGTGATCGTCGCGCACTTTTATATCTTACACCGTGGTCTACTTATAGGCAGATCGAGGTGTTCCAGCGATACCCGCTAGATGGCGCCAGTGTGTGAACGCAGTCATTCAAACGGCTTTAAGCGAGCAAACATTTGATCACATTCGTATGTGAATGTATAAACCATGCGCCTGATGACAGCCGTATATGGAACTAAAAATGGTCAGAAAAGGTAGAACAGACTTACGAAACAGTGTTCGATCTCCGGTTCGAAGAAATATATTGCTTTGCAGTATTTCGACAAATCGATGACGTCGCCCGGCAAGCTCGTGACTTGGGGAACCTCCTGTCCTCTTGGTCGAAAGCAGTCTTGGGGCATGCGGCTTTGAAACGATGTATAAATAAGTGTTAACGTAAAAGTAAGCGTAAATTGCTGCGCATTGAAACTGACTCGCTAAAACCGGAATGATTATTTTTGTTTAATGCATTAGCATTAACAAAACGCTCGTTTTCTAAGAAAACCCAGAGGTGTCTTTCGTTTGTCAGCTCTCTCGTGCGACGCTCCCATTGGTTCGAAGTGCTGACGTGAGCAGGCGCCAACCTCTCCCTCTCTCCCCGGTGCTGACAAACTGACAGACACCGCCGGATTTTCGTAAAAACGATCCCTTTCGTTTTTGACAAAGTCACGCGCACAGCTGGCGCGGAGCCAGAGATGAGTAGGCACCGCGCAACATCTCCTAGACAACAAAGCAGCAGTGCTGAATGAGATGGCTTAATCAGAGAAGGCCAACGCGGGACACATATCGGAAACGAGTGCTGCGTCAGCGCTCGTCTTCGAGCCAAATTTGAGCCAAACATTGACGCAATCGTTGTGTCCAATCTGTGCCCAGCGTTGGCCTTCCCAGATGACGCCATCTCATTCAGCACTATGGCCTTGGTATGTAGGAGGTGTTGCGCCCCGACGCGGTGGAATGCGGGCGTGCTCAGTTGCCGCTCTGCCGTCGCCGGTTGTTCTTCGCTTTGGATTTCGTAGTAGCGGTGCGTGGGTTTTGATGTGTATGTGTAGTTAAAACGATGGATGCAGTTCATTCCACGAGTGATATGAATGCGGTTCCTTCCGCGAGTTGTATGGATCGGGTTCTTTGCACGAGTGATATGGATGATCGTATACCCAAGAACGTCGACGTACTCTGAGAGGCAAAAAAAAAAGGAGTGAAAAAAATTGCAATAATATATTTTTTTGAGAATCTGTTAGCATGACCCTTGAGTAAACGCCATACACGCCTCTTCTGGGGAAGCGCTAATACTGACCACGTAACGAGGCCAAAAAACGGCAGCAAAAAAAAAAGAGGAAGCAAAAGAAAAACCAAAAGAAAGAAGTGAAGGGATCATCATTAGCGTTTCCCAAAGGGGGACACGTGTGGTGTTTCAAAGGTCATGCTAACGTGTTTCCGGAAAATCCAGCAATGGATCTTCCTGTATTTTGTTTTCTTTTTCTTGTGAATCGATGAACCAAAAATGATCGACTGCGCAGTATGTACACTGAACAGACCGGATGTTCAATTCAATGAAAGCCCCTTTTGAAATGGTTGTATTGTGAATTGGGCCTCAGTACAGATAACTCAAACTAAGTATGCCCACTTTGAGGCACAGTTTAACGGGATGGGTAACGGATCTCTTGTTCGCCAACGTAGTTTATCACACCGCATTTGTTCACCATCGAATTCGTATCCTTGTTGACGGTTCCCGTATACGCTAAGGATCATATATGTGCGATGAAAAAAAAAATTAAACACTTCGTTTGTAGAAACATGCGCGAAAACTTACTCGGCTCAAGTTCACATTTACAAAATGTGCAACCTTCCTCCCCCCCCCCCCCCCCCTCATTATAAATATCTTTTTGTTCATTTGTTTTCAAAAATTAAACTACACGTTCACGCACGCTCTCTGTATCGACCAGAAGGTAGACTTACGTTCGACGAGTTGCGTCTTTTTCCTGTGGTGCTGCGCTTTCCTAAAACTTCTACACCAGTTCTCAAAGGCACCTATGACCACATACACAAAGTTTTCAACAAATTCGAAGGCGAATGAGGGCGAACAAACAGAAAAAGAGTCTTTCAGCAGGCAGCCGCCCGCCTTCTGCTACGCTTCACTCGGCTGACTTCACCCAGGCCCAAGATGGCCGATTCAGAACTTCCGGCGGCCGCATTCGCACATGGGGGAAGACCGCGTGACGACACGACATGGCGCGGTGCCTCAAACAAACCGTTGATAGGGCCGCTGTTTGGGACAAGTGCACGGGGGCTAAACTCGAGGTCACTTGCCACCCACCCAACAAATACCAGGTCAAAATCGTGTCCTTATACCAACAAATAAAACTTTGGCAAATGACGTACAATTCGGTCATTGCGGATGCATTCGTCGTCTTCCGCAGGCATATCGCGACGTCTCGACGACCGGCAGTTAACGCCGTAAATATTACAGAAACTGCGTCAAGGCTTTTGTCGTGGTAGATATTAGAGCTAGGATTCCTCTACCTATCATTTTTTACGCTTAAATTCCGCGCCCGATTTTTGAACGATCGTTCTTTCGGAGATCCGATCCCATCTATTCTTCCATAGCAACGCCCCTAGCAACGGTTTGTGTGGAGCAGGGACGTCAAGCGTACGGTGTCAATTCTTATAAAGACCAGCGAAAAAAACCGTTTTCGAATGACGCTCTTTTATGGAGCTTGTCAACTGATATATTTAAGAACGTTGCGAGTGAATATCGTTTCAAGAGCCACCAACGGCAACGCCTCCATAGGCAATGAAGAAGGACCGTTTTAGAATGATGCTCTTTCTGCGCAAGCGTTTACGCAAACGTTATGCTTACTATGAAAACAAAGGCAAAAAATCACTTTCTTCCACAGGCAATGTGCATGCAACGTTCCACCGCTTGTGTTCACAAAGAGGGCTGATACAAGCGGACGCGCCCATGAAAAGACGTGATGCGTTACAAGAAGCTTGTCAACTGACTTCGATCTAGTAACGTCGGCCACAGTGACACCCGGTTGTGCCGGTGCATGAGCACGACCATCCGAGCAGGCAAACTTGCACGCCGTATGGCTAGACATCGGAAAGTCCGAAGTGGATCCGAAGAACGCGAATTTCAGCTACGGCGTGCTGGGGAGGCTCGTCGTGGCAGTCAAGGAACGGATCAGGAACCGAAGCGGAATCGGAAGCGGGTTCAAAATTGTCATAAAAATCTTCAGAATCGTGTCGTGAAAACAGTACAGAAAAGACAATGGCGCGACACTGAGAGCGATTTACGCAAACCCTGAGTGGCTGTCGCTGCGACACACATTGCGCCGTAGCGTAAGTGCACTCGAACTTTAGAGGTGCATTTTATTTCGGTAAATGTCGATGCCTAGTTCCGTGCTTTGTAGGGATTATGTCCGCGTCGCTGGAAAGCGCAGAAAAGTGTTTGAATGTTAACTTTGTCTCTTTTTTTGATAGTAAAGAGGAGGCCGGAAACTGTACATCCCCGGTATTCCGAAAATATATTGAGTCATATTTCTATGACCCCCATTTAATTTTATACCCCCGTAAACAATTAGGTAATGCAATTACTACATAGCGACTTACGCAAGCGAAGCGTTCAGCGCCTCCAAACTGCATTGGTCCGATACAGTATTATTTCTTACGCATTTCTCGAGCATATCCTCGTCCAAATTCACGGCCATCCTGAAAAGTTTCAAAACATCATTTTAATGTATCAATCGTATACTACAAATGGGAAATACTGAACGTGTTTTAAGCAACGTCTCTGAAACACCGCTAAAAATAGACGAATGTCCGAGAGTATACACATATGGATACGCATGGCTCGCAATGGCGTCCCATATCAGCAGCCATTGTGCTGGCCTTGCTGCTGAGCACGCACCTTCGGCAGCGTTCACTACGCGCCACAATATTATTTTTTTTCTCAGATAGAACAACCCAGGATGTGGCATCATGCTGCACGGTGCGACGTCACGTGCAAGCCATGAATTGGCGTCGCACTCGCGCAACCTGGACGCCCTAGTGCCACTAAATAAGCTACGCTTCAGAGTAACGACACTTGGCCATATTGTGGCTTAAAATCATGGTTGCCAGTTTTCTGAGGCTTTATCTGAAATCACAGGAAACGCTTTTCCGCCCTCCACAAATGTTTGAACAGTTCGCGACACAGCAATGCAACATTACATAAGCTTCCTAACACCGAATCGAATGCTGAGGAAGTCGCACTTTGAAATCATGACGATTGGCAGTTGCGTCTGCTCTGCACAAACCCCAAAATGGCGGCACCCACAACAATGTCGGGGAACGGAGTGCCGATACTCTAAGCGCAGCTCATCGAGTGGCTCTAGGATGCCCCATTCAGTGGAAACACCCCTGCCACCTCTGTCCACTTTGGAACGGCGAACGCTGGAGGGGAGGCGCACTCCTCTCTAGAGTTCGCTCTGCTAGGGTGGAAAGAGATGGGAGAAACTTACCATGGAACTCCTAAAAAAACACTAACATTTCTGAAAAAAAATTTTGTTTTTAATTTTTTGACAGGCGATTTAGTAGGGTGTCAGAATACTACCCAATTCATATTTTGCTACACAATCACGTATATGTTTACTAAAGCCAAGAAACGCAACTGCTCTGAACCGAAATCGAAACCTAAACCTGCGCACGGAGGTAAGATAAATATAGAGGAGGAGAGTGTGGTGGGAGTCACGTGGCTACACACGACCGCGCACCTTTTTTCCGCCAATTTCTTTTTTTTTTTTCTTCTTCTTCTTCTTCTTCTTTTTGCTGTGATTGGCTCTCCGAGTGTTGTGGTTGGGTGCACTCGGAGAGCCAATCAGCGCAACTTACGGAGGCAGCTCAGCGAATGACGATGCCGAAACATATGTTTAGACCAAAAAACGTTCAGCCTTCCCTTTCTGGTGAAGAAGAAAGAACAGGGAAGCTATGCTATGGTGGGAATGAAGTAATGGCCGGCAGCAAGTCGGCAAGCCAGAGTGGAAAGGCTGGAAAGGTTTCCGCCACCTATGAGCGACGGCGGCAACCAGACAACCGGCAAACACAACACTCTTTAAAGCTACCGCCATCTTCGATCGACGGCGGCAAACAGATAATTGGCAATCCTGTTGTCTGGTTGTTGCCGTCGGTCATAGATGGCGGTAGCTGTCCAGAGTGTTGTGTCGACATTTCTTTGCTGGCGGACACGGTCCTGGGGAAACTAGCCCTTAACAGTTCCGCTGTAAAAAACGCCGTCTGAGTGACATTAAGCAATGCAAAACGTCACGCTTTTATTGCTTAATGTCGCAACTTAGACTGCGTTTCTTTGTCTAAACATATGTTTCGGCATCGTCATTCGCCGAGCTGCCTCCTTAAGTTGCCGTGATTGGCTCTCCAAGTGTTGTGCGGGAAAGTAGACACACGGTGATCTTTAGAGTGTAGGAGTCGTTTCTCTGGAAATTTCTTGCACATTTTTCGCGGTTACAGACGAGGCTGGGAAGATGGGAGTTTCTTGTACGTTTTTCGCAGATACAGACGCCGGCTGCTCCGCTCCATGGGACAGTTTATGCTTTCACATTAAAGATAATTTTTATTAATTTAAAATAAAATTTTCAGCTATAAATACTGATTTTTAAGAAATATATCGGACGGGGCGAAAGATAATTATACGATAGCAAAGTTGTTTAAAACTGAGAAATAGAAACTATCGTAAAAAAATGCTAAATACTTGCAAGAAGCTATATATAGGAATGAAGGAAACGTTTGTCAAATGTATGCGTTCTGGTTCAAATAAGCCGGGGATCGAAAGACAGTCGGCATAAAAATTCGAAGGCGAGTCACCGGAGATTCGTGCTTCGAATGGCGCGTGGCAATGAGTTAAAGGAGCAAACTTAGCACGCGGCATTCGCACCACGGATATTGCGCTGACTCGTGTTTGCAGACTGTCTTTTGTGTGATCTATGACCGGTGTTACCCCGGCATTAGGACACACAAAATACACCGATCTCACCGAGCATTCCACGCATGCATGACGCCGCCATAATTGTAGTTCACAGGAGGCAGGCGACGGTGAACGGGTCAGCTCGTGCCGACCCGCAGCCTCTAGTTGTCGCGCGTGCAGAAAGACTACAGTTCCCAGGATGCGAGCCGGCGGCGTAGCGAAGCTGGCTGGTGAGATCGGTCTACTTGGGCCAGTTGGTTCACGATCACGTAGGTAAGCGCCAAAGGAACCCAGGGACTGAACTAGACAGACAGGGGCGCCTTTGCATGTCTACTTCATTGTCCCTGTTTTTTCTTTTCTTTTCTATTTGAAGTTTTTTAGTCCGAAAGTTCATCGGGCTCATACGAATTGTTATACTCCGTTTCATCTTAAATCGCTACCAATGCTACGAGCCAACGTGGCCTATCAAACTTCTAGAAAACACTATATCAAGGGCATTATACGTGTTGCGAATTCGTTAGCGCCCAATCGATTAAATCAAGCACCCAGAACAACTAATGACAGCGCGTTTTGATCGGTGGGTTTGTGTTTGCGTTGCAATCCGCTTTTGGTTTCGCTTCGACTTAAAGAGAAACTGCAAAATATCTTGAAAAAAATATGACTTAGAGGTAGCAGTTTCAACGTTGGTGTTCCCTAAACAAATTGGGGGACCCAAATACAACAAGGTTCGCGTCGACGGCTTATAGAATAGGGGTTTCGTGACGCAGTGCAGTGCGCTTACGTTTCCCGCTAGCAGCGCCAATGCGGCTAACGAGCGTAATATTAAAAAACAAAAAATTTAAAAAAGTAAAACATATGCGCTGAGCAAGTATTTTTTTGTTTACGAATAATCGTTAAAGTAAATCCCAATCAAGTCGGCTAGCAAAAGAGATAATCTAAAATCAGTATACATGTAGCTGGTTGTATTCAGCCAAAACAATCCATTCCGTAGCACTCCAATTTCGCGCTCGTTCTCGGATGTTTTAGGCGTTCGTGTGCTCTTTGGCCGTCTGTTACCAAAGATTTAGGCCTTCAAGTATACCGAAACTGAGACGAATGCGGGCGAGCATAGTCTACAAGCAGCTGCTTTATTTAGATCTGAGATTCAGCGACTTTGAAGCCTTGAAATACTTGTTTTAACCTAGCTGGTATCCTGCCACGAACGAAATCCAATCGGAGTTACGGAGTATTGCAAGGAAACGTCCTTGGAGTATAGCGATACGTTGCCATGTCAACGGTCACCGCGTCTCTTTAGGTTTAGGAACGGCCAGAATCGGGGACGATCTTTAAAATGGGACAAGCCCACCTCTCATTCTTTGTAACTTGAGCGACATAAAGCAAAGCGAAAGCCGGTGGCACCATTCATTGGTAATGAAAATGGCTAATACTGCAGCGACCACGACGATTTTGCTCCGAAGCGAGTGGAAAGGGCGTCGCCATGTTCGCCGACCCAACCAGGCCCCAAGCAAATAGGGGCCCCGCGCTATTTCTCGAACCTAGCGTTGGGGATGAGCGCCAACCCAAAACCCAAAACGGAGTTTGGGTGCGGCGCATGCGCAGTGGTGAGCCCCTATTTCTTTGGGGCCCAAAGCTATGGGGCTTCCTATTCTAAAACTCTCCATTTTTGTCGCATGAATTTGAACATCCGAGCATTCGACCCGAGGGAATCGATAGAGGCGAGTAAAACCGGAGAACCAACCACCGGGTATGACGTCGTACCCAGAGGTTTCAGCTGCCTGGCGCGTGCAGCTTGTAAGAGAACGAGTGAAACGGTTTTGACTGCTCGGTTAAGGCTTGCGGAAAGCGCGAAAATGGTGACATCTCTGTATAATCCGTCATGATCACCTCACACCGAACTATACGGGAAGGTGGAGGTTCAGCACTATTTTGAAAGCGCTGTTGTGACTACTTGGCGCATCAATCTGAAATATAATTTTAATATTCGCGATCCTGGCGGACAAACAAAAACGATTGAATTTTTTTTTTTCTTTTGTGTGTGTTTTATAGATTGCCGCTTTAGGTTGTTGTTTTTTGTTTTTGTTTTGTAAGATGAAAGGAAGTATAGTGGTTTGATCGAAAGTTCGGACAGAATATTCGCACTTACATTCTTAAGATGTGCTCCGCCAGCTGGTCTAGCATGCGGTACATTGCGTGTGGATCACTCATGAGTATTACTTTATCTCTACTGCAGAATCCAGCAAAGAAAGAGTAGCCTGAAAGGAATGGGAGTATTGCAGTTCGATGATATGACTTTCGCTCACAGGTATATATGCACGCGCAAGCGGTCACAGACTGCGCAAAAGAAAAAAGCCCCACCTTATGGGACATAATACCGAACTTATCTTTTTTACTTCTCATTAAAGGAAGTCCACATGTTGCCAGATGATGGGACATACGCTTTGTTGTGTGTTCATATATCTTTAGGAATGCGTTCCGAATAGAGCAAAGAAGTATTTACTTGCCCTCAGCACGAACTGTTGAGAAATAAACGTATCTTCTGCCGCTAGCAACAGTTCTCTCAGTGCGAAAATAAATGCGGCGAATGTTTGTTTTCAGCACGCGCCCAACAACTTCGTATGGGATTCGCATTTGTTGGCGAAGAAACACTGCGACTTTGATTGGTCCAGCTGCATTTCAATGCTATTAAAGTACGTAGCCGGTTGAAGCTGCTATGAACAATAGGAAACTAATCGTACGACTTTAACCTCCGAGACGCAGTAGCGTTTTCTTTTCTTTTTTTCTTCGGAGTTTGCCTAATTTAGGGCGAATTATTTATGCCCATTTCGAATCGGCATGGCCTGGTCCTTTAGCTCGCACCAACTCTCAAACTGAAAATGGAAATAAAAAATAATAATAAAGCTAAAAACTGTTGTATTGGCAAGGCAGAGGACCTCGCTTTGAAGCAGGTGCCCGAGCCTTCTTCTTTTTCGGCTCGCGCTCTTCGCTAAACTGAGTCGACATGAAAGTCAATCGAGACACCGAAGTCTCCTAAAAGGGTATTCACACGAGGAAGAAATCCCGGGGATTTCTCCCCGGCACGCGAATCCCGCGACGAAGACGTCAGGCTTTGCGATGTGCAAAAGCCTCGCGGTTTCGTCTCGTGATGCGCGCGTGCCGGGGAAAAATCCCCGGGATTTCTCCCTCGTGTGAATACCCCTTAAACCTCTGAAACCAACACCGTGGAAATATGCCTCTCACGCATAAAAGGATGCGCGAAAAAAGAAAGTGAGGAAGATGGATCGCTTGAGCTGTCAAGTTCAACCCAGCATTGCTGCGTGCTGATGTTCGGCGTCACGCGCTTGAGGCCGTTGCTGGGCGCAGATTACAAACGAGTACTGCCTCAGCGTTCATCTGGAACTCCACTCTTGCCTGCTTGAACACGAGTTCCGGCCGCATGCTGTCGCAACACTCGTGTTCAACCTTTGTCCCGCACCGCAGGCCTCTAGCAGCTGAAGTAGAAGCTCAGGCACTATAAGCCTTGTTATCCAGGAGGTGAAGACGGCAGGTTCCCAGAGGGGCTCTGAAGTGCCTAGAACGCGTCTCCGACAGGCGTGATTAGGCTCCTATTCCGTCCACGCATCCAAAGAGGTTCCAAAGTGGCAACAAATTACGGCACAAAAGCCGGAGTGTCATGCTGTTACGGATCCCGGAGGTCGGGCGCAAATGATCTGGCAGATTTACGAGCCCGCGTTTCCCCCGCTCCTGGGCTAGCATGTCAGCATTGGACCAGCTCGCCTGTACAGTTACTTTAGTTCAGATCATTATCTTTAAGACTATATAATAATAGTGGATCAGTAACTGAAATACGTCACCTGTTCGAGACTGATCCTGGAAGTAGTACCTGTAACAAAAACAGCGCGTTTTCAGTTTAGATCTCGACACAGCCACGGAGATGCCAATTGCTTTTCTATTACTTACGACGTTAGCATAACGATGACCGTAGCATTTTCAAACTGCGTCTGGTTTTGCATTGCGAATTTCTTTAAACCCCACAGAGCACTGTTCCCGTCCAACCTGCCATCTGCATCGATGCTGGTTTCATATATCCTGTCCTGTTCAGGCTTCTGAAAAATGTCACATCGTCGCAAACACATGTTTATCATTTTGATGTCAATGTTTCTTTTTAATCTTCTTTTTTATATTAGATTTCAAGTCTCCACGTGCGCTGAGTACATATAAAGCGACAGTTAATAAAGCCCGATGCATCGCGGTTACGTTTTCGGTCGGACCGAAAACGTCGTATCAGTTTAACGTCAAGGTAACACAGCTGACACATCGTACAATAGGCAGCCTCCAGACACTGTCTGTGGTGTGGTTCTTCCATGTATGACTGTCCCGCCACATTGGGCATGCAAAGACTGTCTGCAGAGATGTTCGAAGAGTACATTTGCATAAAACAAAGATACTCACAATATTCCTGAGTCACGCCCGCAGATAATTATGTCAATGTGTCTTTTGTTTAATGTACGAGGAATTCTGAATGCGGCTTTATGGTCGTCGCCCCTAAAGTTATACGTCGGGGACCGGTTTCGGTCTGTTTCTAACAATCTCGAGCTCGCCTCATACGCGTAATTCCACCAAAAGTTATTCGCAAGTACGCCACTACACGTGTCGCATACTTCCGGTTCAAACTTTCACCGATATCAACGATGGCACGCTTCGCCCTGTGAGTTTCTATGCGCATAGAAAGTGTTTTTGTTTTTTTTCTATTTTGCTCGAGTTTTTCTGCGTTGTGATGGATTGCCCCAGTCGCTGTCGATCACAGCCGCAATAGATTGGGTCGTCTCGTCTCCATTAAGAAAAGTAGAATGCATCATACTCATGACGTCACAGTAAGGGCAACGCTTTTGGTCGCGCTCGGCACCAGTAGACCGATCTCACCAGCCTGTTTGGCTACGCCACCGCTACCGCAATGCATCGAGGGAACCTTAAGGCCGGTTCAGACACTTGCGTTTGAGTGCGTTTGACTGCGTTGCGTCGAGAACCGAAAGCGAGTCACCGGCACATATGTGCTTCGTATGAAGCCTGCAATCCAATTCAAGGAATCATCTTAGCACGCGATATAGGCAGCAGGGATGTCCTGGTTTCTCGATGCCGCAACGCAGTCAAACGCAGTCAAACGCAACTGTCTGAACCAGGCTTTAGTCTTTCTGCGCGTGCGGGAACTTCCCTGGAGCTCTGCGCATGCGGAGTCGAGAAGGCGCGAGCTGTCTCGTCGGACACTGCCGCCTGCCGTCTGAGAAGTAAAGTTATGGCGGCTTCAGGCATGCGCCGAACTCCCTTGGTGAGATCGGACTATTCACGAACAAAACACATTTGGTCAAGCGGACTGAAAGCGAGCTTTCCAGCATTACGACTCTTGAAGGGGAGAAGGAGACTTTTCAGGGGTACACAGACTCCTTTATGATTACTTACTTCATCCTAGGTGAACTAGAAAAAATACAAATAATAATAACGCAATTTGCTTTGTGGAGGCTGAAAACGTGCCTGGTATCTAGAGGAACTTTGATGGGCAGTCGAATTTCATACGTAACGGTCTTTATTTGGGGTTTAAGACAAGCCGGTTCTCAAAACGTCGACCCGTGGGCGGCCAGAAGGACTCTAGCAAATGCCGTCAGTGCGAATTTTAAAGGAAACAAAAAACAGCATTAGTTGATGCGGCCCAAAATACGTTCCTGCTCGTACTGATTGAGCTCTGTCCTCGTCGGTGCCACTCGCCGTGCTCGCGCACTTCGTCAACACCAAAAACGATGCCGACAACTAATCGTCTGCACGGGAACTAACGGGGAAATGAGGTTTTGTGAAACCCGCCCCCCATACCGCCGAGGCTGCAACATCACCGATGTATGGTGCCGATCGCCGACTGCGTCAGGGTTCGGCAAGTATACTCGAGTTTCTCGAAGCGTGTATAGATTCCTCAGCCGGGTACTCCACACTTGGGCTACTGCAGGAACGAAAAACGAATATCTTACAGTTAGGCAGGAGATGCCAACGAGCCTCAGAACGAGTCCCAGTTCGTGCGGCAGTCCGCTGTAGGTTGCTCTCAACTGCGGAAACAAACAAATACGAGGACACGTGTGAATTACATCAGAACCTTGCGTATACCGAGACGGGCACAAAAAACAAAAAATTAAAGTCCCCCGTAAAAAGAAAAAAAAAAAATATATATATATATGTAATTAATGACAAAATAAAAATTGATTTAGTGACTGACAACATAAAAAACGCATGGGGTGGATTATTATTGTCACGCTTTTTGCTTGTGATTGGTCGTTCGGCGTTTAATGCAGCGATCTGATTGCCTGCGATAGCCCAGGTAGTAGAACGGGGGGGGGGGGGGGGGGGGGGGGCGGAGGGGCGGGGGAGGGGGGGGGGGTTCTTACGTGGGCAATGTGGCCTTTGAAACCTACGTTCGTGTCACGTGGGCGTGCCACGCCCCCGTGGGTCCCACCTGGGTTACACAAGGTCATGCCGAACCGAGTGGACGTTGTGGAGATGTAACGTAAATTTCTGTTCAGCGTGATACGAAATTACCGACGAATGTAACTTAAACCGTGAGAGAGAGAGAGAGACATTTTGGGATTGTAAACCTTTTTGACATACAAATCTTGCTACTCAGCTGGAAAGAGGGAAGCCTTCATGGCATGGAATTTTGTTGTCGGAGAGTTTAGTTTGAAGATGATTTCCATACACCAGCTCGGAGCACGTAGAGCGAAAGCTCGCGCTGCAGAATCCAGGGATCCTGGGCTCAATCCCCAGCCCTGCCCGTTTCGATCTGGATGAGCATCGTACCGGCGTGCGGTCGTGTATCACTACTGCGTGAGCACGTTAAAGACCCCAGGCTAGCGGTTGTACCGCACTAGCTAAATTGCTGATCTACAGCTGAAAGACAAGTTTGCCTTTGGGGCTGTTTAACTTCCGCTTGTATAAACATACACACAACACAATTACTAATACTAGGTGAAATCCAAACACGTTCGTCGGCTCGCGGTATATCTTTTCTAAAATGTCGGAGTCCGCAGCCGGTTCATGCTGGCAATGTATTCCAATTACCAGGCCTATTTCTTTACTTTTTTTTTTTTGGGGGGGGGGGGGGGGTGGTGTTCGGTATTTGGTACATAGAAATTATATGAAAATGTGCACTGTTTTTTGTTTCATTTCATACACGTGGAATGAGTAATTTATCTTATCTTTTTAAGAAGTTCCGTTCATCTAACAAGACGCGCATATTTATAAAACGGCAATGAAGTCTCATTGTATTCAGGCCGGGAAAGTGTGTGCAACCCCAGCTTGAGCTGCAGCTGCGATACATATCGCCCGGATAAGAATCAAATGAGGCGGAATGAGGCGACCTGCGCGCCGCGTGTAGGCTGACCATGTCCAGGATGTCCAGGATGTCCACAAAGAAACGCTACTGTTTGATTTTTTTTATTGAAAAATAAATTCCACATAGCCGAACGCTAAATATCTCCGCCAAAGTGTAGCCTTCAATATTTATAAATCATTTTCAAAACCTCTCAATGAGAAAGTTTCAATTGTCGAAACTCACGAAAACATGGGGATGAATGGCACGAACTAAGGGAATCTGACCCCATTTTCCCATTAAAATTAAAAAAAAAAAAATTATAAATTTCGAATAAAATAACGGTTCTTTCCGAAACTTTTTTTTTTTTTCTGGCCCGACTGCTAGCATTTCACTGAGAAGGGGGGGGTGGGGGTGGGGGGGCGGTACAGTGCATTTTTTTTTTTTTTCGAGGGCACGCTGCAGGTTTCGTCAGGAAATCCCAGGTTGGTTGCTGAAATGGGGCCTGTGGGCCCCATTTCAGAGGCCACTTTGTGCTACTTGGGTAGGGTGACCACAATTTGCGGCGTACAAAACGGGACCGGGGGCGAAGGGGGGGGGGGGGGGGGAGACCGGGAGCGGTGCCGTAAAAAAGAAAAGCAAGCTCTGATACCACTTAGTTCACTCTACAAACGCACATGGTTACAAATATTTTCTTTTAGTTGCGTACAGAAGCATATTTTTCTTAATTTTTATACAAATAGACTAACATAGAAAAGTGCCCCCAACAAACGCTTGTGCGAAGAGAACGTGTTGACAGATGGAACACCAGATAGAGGTCTAAATTAACTCTACAAGAAGAAACATTTTTATAGTATGTTTATTATTCGAACGCGTATTATGAAATCTTTAAGATTTCTTCCATTCGCATAGAACTCATTTCGAAACTCTACGCGCAAGTTCACAGAAATACGTGACGTCAAGCTTCACTGAGAAACAGCAACTATCAGACAGCAGAAACGTACCCCTAAAACGAAACTGCCACGTTCAAAACGGGACGTCTCTTTGCAGGAATGTGTCTCCTTAATTCTCTTCGACTCCATAGATTCTTTCTGAATCCAATGCCAGGCAAGTGCACAAACTTTCAGATATTGCGCTGTCTCTAAAGTTAAAAAAAGGCAATGCCTAGAGGAAATCTCTGCGGTCTTCAAGAACAAAACAAACAATCCCAGAAAGCGACGAAGCCTGCATGAACATATTGACCAAATCAAAAGTCCATAAATGTGAAGCTATTTAACACTTCAGCGGGCAGCATAATCTAAGCATGCAGTTTTGGCATTTTGTAAATAGCCTAATGAGCGTTGATTTTGACACCTCCCTAAAGCAGAGAAAAAAACAGGCGGAAAATCTAAAATAAAATAAACTCCTGTCCTTTTCATTTCCAGTGGCTGTTCGTGAGATTAACGGGGGCATTAAAAAATACAATTTATAATCAGTGACTAAAGGTCACAGGTACTATCAGTGGCTATCACTGAAAATACAACAAAATGCACTTTCGTGCACGTTGTTGTATTTCTTACTGCGGGTTAATGCTTTTTTTTACTTACTCCGTTTGTCAGAACCTTCATGTAAAGTTGCTGATCTCCGATATCCTTAAACAATTTGCAGTGTGAGTTGTCCGACAGGAGATATAAGTTAACGTGACGCGTCTGCGAAAGAACTGCACAGAAACAGGAAGTATTTGTTAACTTGGTCGGTACCGATGCAATACTACACGGAGCGCAAGTTCGTCTGCCTCTTGCCGAGGGGTTGCGGAGACGTGAGAACGCAGAGCTATGATTAGTTCCGATTGGAACAATAGTGGGTAGACATCAAAGCCAGCTGCCTTGAGGTGTACCCACTATCTTCCAATCAGAGCCGATCAGAGCTGGGCGTTCTGACGTCACCAGAACCTTTGCAAAAGAAGCAGACAAACTTGCGCTCCGCATTGTTTAGTAACGCCGAGTAAGTTACCACGAAACCGAAACCAACACTGTCGTCTATAATCTTTGCCTGGACGCCATGTTGGAGCCATTCAGCATCTTAATGCGGCAGCAATAGTGCCGTAGAGATCTGGCGTTTGCCTCGCTCGCGTTTGAAGCTCAAACAGATTGGTGGCGAGCAGCCGATGGAACACAGGTCAGAATAAGCGTGACTTGAGTTTAACATCCTCGCACGGCACTTGAATGCGCGCGTGGAGTGCCGTCGCTCGGCACTTGAACGTCTCGCAAAACTGTCGTAAAACCGTAAAACCAAAGACAAAAACAAAACGTTATTTGCTTATTATTTGCGGTGACCGACAACAAAAATTAGTGCCGCTTTAAACGTGAACTCATTGAGGGATATTGTGCAAAACTTTTCAGCACTGTAGCCAGCCCTCAAGTTTTTCGGCTGGCTACACAGATGAAGATGGGTACTGCCGCACAAGAGATTTCGTCTGCTCTATTTGTCCTAGTCGATCGCAAAGAGGTTCCTCACCTAGCACGAAGTGCAGTCCACATACACTTAGTTGGCGTGAAGCTTTCCTGTCGAAATTGAGCCGGCGTATTCGTCGGAGCCATTCATGACGCCGGCGAACGAATTCCTCGAGCGTCGACGAACACTTCTGGCCATAGCAAGATTTCGTCGCCTACTTTTACGCCTGGAACAGCTAAATACGGCGCAACTGACCATTTTAAACCTACAATAATCGGACAAACCACAGAGCGAACACGGCCCCAAAGAGCACGCAACATATAGCATAACAGTGACGAATGCCTCCAACATGGATTCCAGCGGGTTCCGGTGAGTTTGCAGAATCTTACCCGCATATTTCGTGTTGTCACTTATAGAATGAAAATGGCAGGGCAGCGTTCCAGTTGTTTTCCCGCCTCGAGTGGTCATCTATTACGTGTTGAATAGCAGTATAGCAGAAGAAAGTTGCTAAACTTTCAACTTCGTCGTTTCTGTGGCAGTTCAGCGTCCTACCAAACGTGGCATAAACATATGTAGAACTCGCAACTGGGCTAGTTGGTGAATGTTAGGAAGCATGGTGTAAGGCGTAAAAACAGCGGACACAAGGAATGTCTGTCTGTGTGTCTTCTTTCTTGTGCCCGTTGTTTTTTGAGCCTTACAACATGCTTCCTAGCATAAACATATGCTCGGGGATTGTCTGCCAGAACGAAGCAACCGGAAGGCTCTCTGGATGCAAGAGACGGCTCGTGTTTGTTAACACAAAACAAGCGTATATGTCTTAAATATTACGAACACCTGACTCACCAAGATTTAAAAAGGCACTGACACGTCAAAATCTTTTTTGATCATTATTACACGAAACAATTGAAAAGAAATACCTGGACATTGCCCTCAATATTCGAAACTTGGGAATTCAGTATTTGTGAAGTAAAAAAAAATGCAATTTCCAAACGCCGAATTTGAAGTTCCCGCGCGATGCCTGTGCGTTCACTTCAAATATTGAGCTGTCCTACGAATCGAGTTTCTCTCGAACCACCGCCGCTCGAAGTGTCGCTTGCGCCCCGCAGACAACCTCCGCGCGTCACGTACCATGCCGCCATTTCTTTTTTAAATGGTGAGCCATGTTTTCCGAGGGAGGAGAGAAAGCCAGGAGGCGACATCACTCCAGACTCCGATTTTCGGGATTTAAAAAAGAAGGGCCTTCGGAATTGCATAAAATAAAAAAAAAAATATTTTACGAATGTCGTTATTAAATGTAATAAAAATGTCGCTTGCAAAGCTTCTAGATTTCATGATATTTGACGTCACAAATCAAAAGAAGCGAGAAGGTGAGCGGGAGAGAAAAAACCAAAAAATAAAAAAGCGCGCAGGCGCGTAAAAAAATTTTTTTTGTTGTTGTTGTTGTTGTTTTGCGTTGTGGTATTTCTTTTTTTTTTTTTTCTTTTTTGCGTGTCCATGTCGTGCGTGTCACCCTGCATCGTTTTAGACAATAAAAACAAAATAAGCCCTTTGGGCTGTCAGTGCCCCTTTAAGGGGAAAAGAAAACCTATATAGTCTCTAAATATATCAAGTCCGCCCACGTTCGCGACCGTTAAGTTGCGAATGTCATGAAGCCAGTGTCAAAACTAATATACCTAAAAGGTTAAAACAGCGCAAAAGACAACGGACAGGGTAAAGACGGACGGACACCCAGGCTTCAACCTTAGTAATCTACCTGAGGGGGGCTTCGTAGGTACTGGTGGAGTGTGGCTTTGACACATCTCTGGAAATAATAAGAAAATACATTTGAAATTATTTTGTTTTGCGTCAGCACAAAAACAAAACACACAGTAAGAGCTCCCTCCTTTCGTTCTCAATTCACTGTCATCCGCAAAACAATATAACACCAAGGTAAAAAAAAATCAGCCGTTTTTAATATATTTGCATTATATATTATATTTATTGTGGATAGGCAATAAACACTTGCTGGTAGAAATGAAACATATTATTGTTAATCATCTATCTGAAAAAAAAAACAAATACAATTTCCCAAAAGAGCACAACTAATCAACAAATATATCTCTCGGTTCCAACTCAAGAGTGTATACGCAATGAAGGGGTCGACGTTCGAGTTTTCGATATTAGTGGAACGTTGGAATGTTTTCAGTGTTGCCAGTAGAGCCCTCGGCCTCTCAGATCAAAATTAAAAATTCAATAAGGTCGCGAAAAAAAATTTAATATAGTACTGTTTGTGTGTGTTTTCTATAAAAGAACTTGTTGTTGGGCTAGTTGGTGTTGACTGTATTGAACCATGGTTAAAAGCGCTAAAAAAAGACGTACACAAGATAGAAGACAAACACAGGCGCACGGGCTTACTAGTTCGGTGTCGTTTCATACGTCGAACTAATTTTAAGGCAAATCGGTGACTATCGAAATTTTGACGGAGTTTAGCGCACTTTAACAAATCACGTGGTTGCGGCATGTTATAGTCTCACTGAATGTTCCCAGGCCACCGGAACTCCTAAGCTTCGTTTCAGAACCGAGTCGCGGCGCAACAGTTTGCAAAGCTCGTACAGTATAGCGTTCGTTACCGTACGAGCTCTTAAACCTGCTTTCCTGGCCCTTGGCGACACTGTTTTTTTTTTATATAAGTATTAATGTGCTTTTTTTTTTTTTTTTTGCTTTTTTTTCCAAAATTAAATAGCGCAAAGGTTAGACAAAAGACAAGGGACAGAACATGTAGACAGGACAAGCGCTTGTCCTGTATACATGTTCTATCCTTTGTCCTTTGTCTAACCTTTGCGCTATTTAATTTTTATATCAATCATATCCAACTAGCCCACCTCAATATCTTAGTATGATTAAAGTTCTTTCTTTCGTTCCGAGTGGTGTGACCTGCTCCTCGCTGTCCCGTCTTTCTTTCTCGCTTCGAAACAGATCGAAGTCGAGTGTTAGGCTTAGCGTCTCAAACCTACAGAGTTTGAAACGCGCAGCGCCAACGCCACCGGAGCAAGCAAAGGAACCGGCAGTCTCCTTATAGGCGAACCAGACTAGCGGCTTCTTGATACTATAACAGATCTAGAGAAAAGTCAATGCACTTCCCTTCCAACTCATCGATGCCCAGAGCTCCCACCTGCGCGTACGTGCCGTACCCGTGGTTACGCAAAACCGTTTTATAAACGTCACAAAATTAAAATTAGCGCTAAAGACGAGGACAAGTGTGTTGTGTTTTTAATACGAGCGACTGGGTAAGACAGGACGGAAAAACCAACTGTTCCATCTCGTGCTCCGTTCGTATTCCCCCTTCTTCGTCCTCGTCCACTAGCAGCCAGGATCAGCTTGTAGACACAACAAAGTGGAAGACACGGACAGGCGCTGACTCACAACTGATAATTAGTGAAGAATAATAGGAAGATAAAGGCAGAAGTGCAAGGACATAGACGGAATAAAAAGACTAACCAAAACGAGAGAAAGCAACAATTATTTTTTGGACTTCAAAATTAAGAAATAAGAAAAAAAGCGCGGTAAAAAATTAAAAATTTACACTAAAAAATTATAATGAAAACCTACTCCAAGTTAATGAAAGAAAGAAAAACGAGGCTCACACACAAAATATTGTAAGTAGTGCAGTTCTTTCGCCGATAAGGCTACCGACGGTGCACTGATGCGTGTATCCCCTTCAGCTGCTATGACTTGAGCCTCATAAATTTCTCTTGTTCTTTGATCACTGAACTTCCTTAGGATTTTTGTTCGATGGAATAGGGGAGGACACTTGCAATCTCGTACGTGTAGAGCAAGATGAAGACTTGAGAGACAGTCCATGCTGTCTCAATCTCATGTTCACACACCGGCCCCAGTCTGACCCACGTACACCTTCCCACACGAGAATAAAATCTCGTATACTAGGCCCCTAAGGCAGTTCACAAACTTGTTTGCATGCTTGACATCGCATTTGTCCTGTTTGTCACGTTGATAATTGATTTTCGGACACAGCCTTTTTAACTTATCAGGTGCAGAAAGCACCACACGTACGAGATTGCAAGTGTACTCCCCTACACCATCGGAAAACAAAAATCTTGAGGAAGTTCAGTGATCAAAGAACAAGAGAAATTTATGAGGCCCAAATCATAGCAGCTGAAGAGGATCCATGCCACAGTGCACCGTCGGTAGCCTGATCGGCGAAGGAATTGCGCTACTTACAATATTTTGTGTGAGAATTTCGTTTACCTGGATTAATTTTCAGAGTCCTCTTCTTCCTCCTTCTTTTTCTTTCTTTAATTTACTTGGAGTAGGTTTTCATTATAATTTTTACTGGAAATTTTTAATTTTTCACCGCGCTTTTTTCTTATTTCTTAATTTTCAAGCCAAGAATAATTGTTGCTTTCTTTTATTTTGGTTAGTCTTCCTTTTGATTTCGTATATGTCCTGGCACTTCTGATTTAGCTTCCTTTCATTCTTCACTAAATATCAGTTGTGAGTCAGAGCCTGTCCGTGTCTGTGTCTTCCACTTGTCCTCATCTTTAGCGCTACTTTTAATTCTGTAATGTACAACCAACGAGCCCGTCACATGATCCTAGCACAATTTATAAACGTCTTATGTTGTTTTGGGCTCATCTAGAAATTGGCTGACTGATAACTTTCGCCGCAGGCTAAACCAGCCAATCAGAACTGGATTTTACGGGATCGACTTCCGCAAAGCGGACTGAATGAATTCTGTAGTCTGGGAACATTATCTTGTTCTTCCATGGCAGAAGGTATCAGTGGTAAAAAGCCTGGCTCCTTGAGATGCCGGGGCGTGGTACTAGTCGGGCTCCTCATTGACGAAAATACTCAAAAACAAACCTACAAGTAGTCGTCCCAGAGTGCTTCGCTGGGCAGTAAACACGCTGAAGTTCCCGAGAGTCTTCGGTTGTAAAAATCACGAAGAGCTTTTTGCCACAAGCATCGTATTTTCCGGAGAAATCGATAGTTCTCTCGCGGCGCATAATCCGCCGATAAAACATTCTAATACATAACCTATATTAAAAAAATGCTCGTTTTTGACGCATTAAGAAGTCTTTCAGTTTGTGAAGAACGGTTTCGCCTAGAGCACTATCGTCACCTCGCGCAGTAAAAAAGTTAAAAGTCAACTGGGCGATGAAGAGCTTTTTCGCATCATAAAAGAAGCTTAAAAAAACCCTCATAGGTTCTTTACAAAGGACCCTTTAGGGGGTACGTAAAATAACTTTTTATGGTGCAAAATGTGAACAAGCCAAAGAACCTCTAAGAGTTCTTTTACCACCTGATTTTTTGTTAGAGTGTACTTTGCGAATGCGGGTTTTATTATTCTAGCTCCCAAAAGAAGCTTGTATTATATAAAATTCATCATTAACACAATGTCATTGACGAAATTTCTTATGTGTCGTTATGACGAAGGATCTTGAAGAAAAAGAAAGTATTATACTCTGTTTCACCTTATGGTGTACCGCAGGAAAGGCTACAAGCGCGAGCTCCTTGCTCTAGGGAATATCTCGGCGGCACAAGCTCTCGTGCGTTAAGAACAGCTCCCAACGCTATGAGCTCACGCTTCTAGCCTTCTCTGCGGTACAGCATAAGGTGAAACGGAGTATAGTAATATATTTTGCACAGCATAAACTTTCAATTTTTAAACGAGTATAGTCGACGGAGCAAACAAATATGATAAACCTGATTTAAGGAAGAAACGTCCACCGAAATACACCACTCACCTGCGTTTGGAATCCTCGGGAGAAAAATTAACAGCAGCAGCAGCAGCGGCGGTCGAGAGCTCCATAGCGACGAAAGATATATGCCTGGTCCCGAAAGAATATACGTTCACACATTAGTCAAACGCCACCTAGAAGATAAAACCTGCATAGTTCTCTCCCTTCCAGGCGTCATCGCTACTGGATCCAAGCATCGCCACATAGCCTGCGTCAGCAACGTCGACAGGGCGTTAAGCATGCAACGCCTCACAGCAAGCGCGACGCTAACAAGAGGTGACACCAAGAAGGAGGCGTCTACCACTTTGCGGCAGCTCTCATCGAGAGTGCAATCGCCGCTTCCGGAGGGTCGGAGATCCACAAACGATGACGTCATGAGAATGCCTCGTCTACTATTGACGAGGTACCCGTTTGTTATCCCCACATTTCGGTGTTTACCCAACACAAGGCCTTTGGGCATGCCCACAGGCATTGTGGGCATGTCCATGTCATCATGTTTACGTCACGTCACCTTTTTCAATAAAGGGCGGGCACAGTAACTGTGTAACGTAAAAAAAAAAGACTATCAATAAACGAAGTGAAGTTTATTGTGGCCGTATTCCAATATTTACTTCATCTTACTCCAGGGTTGGGTCCATTTGTGTAATGGCGAATTCCACAGGTCGTTTTGGAACGCGCCGGGATCGACTTTTCTGGAGTGAGCCTTTTTCACTGGGCGATCGGGATCGAGACGGACGTGTTCCACTGATCGTTTTGGATTAGCTCCCGCTCCAAATCTTGATCTGGATCCGAGAAAAGTCGCTTCCACGATTTCGGCGGATTCAACCGGAAGCCAGCCGGGCCAGCCCTCGGCGCACACACGTGACTTCCTTTCTCGCGGGGCATCTCGCCTGATCTCGCCCATGAGTGACCCATCTCACCTCAGAAGAATTCGTAATGGCCCCTTGCTTACCCCTTGGCTTGACAGCGGGTTCGTTTTCTCGAAAGGAGAAGAGAAGGTTTTGCCGTGCTACGGGCATTCCGACAATCTTTGCTAGAAGCTCCTGAGCCATTCCTGCCGCCTGTGCGTCGAACAGGTGTTAGCGCCGCGATTGCGAAAACGTCTTCGAAACGACCGCGGCGGCTGCGGAAAGGGGTTTCCCGAGCAGTTCAATGACGGGAAGCATCCGCCGATCCCGGAGCAGTGGTCATGTTCCACCGGGGATCCGTAGTCGACGCGACCCCGTTCGGATCGTGTGCTCCATTCCGGATCTGGTCAACTGATCCCGGCGTGCTCCAACACGCCCTGTGGAATTTGCCATAAGATTTTGAACACAGCCTCTTAGTGCCCGATCTCTCCCGAAAGCAGTCGTCAAAGAATGGGAGCTTGACCCAAATTTGGCTTTTGTGCTGAGCTGGCCATGCTGCATTGTTCATGCAGCCTGGAGTGGTAACAAAAGAGATCGTCCTCTGCCTCGGGCGACAGGAGCACACGATCTCCAGCCGAACGCTGACGGGACGTTCGGTTATATCGGTCGAGCGTTGAGTCAATAGGGAGTTTTCGTAGATCGTTTTCGCCGTCCCGCAACGGCTCTCCGCAACCCGTTACGATTCCCGGAACTCTACAGTCAAGGCCATGGGTGCGCATGCACAGTAGCTGCTTCTTCGTTGCGGAGGGCTTAGCGGAGGGGGGAGACGCTGTCTACGAAAACTCCCTAGTGTTATCTGTTGTCCCCATCACTGTAGTTTTAAAGTTTTCCGCTTGAACTGCCACACTCTGATCTCCTGCCCAATATTCGTTTCCACTTCAAGAACCTTAGTAAAAAAGAAAAAGGCCGGCTCTTCGCAGAACATTACTAGTTTTCCTTTTTATGTACGGAATTAAGATGTATGTAGGTGCAGTGCAGATTAGATTGCTGATATCCTATCAAGCCGTACAGGTTTTCAACGTCAAAAGCATCGCGTCTCCCTCAGACAACAAAATCGTATAGGAACTACTTCGCGCGGCGTATGAACAGTGCGCAGTACTTCCTTTTTTCTTCAGGTGAAAACAAGTATTCGCCTCGAGATTCGATCGGCACGGCTCATGGGGTGAAAATCAGAACTACGCTTTGTTTTACAATTACTCGGAGCAAAACGAACGCTGCGCACCCGAGGCCGAAGCCATGGGAGGCGGCAATCCAGCGCTTGCGCACTCGAATCAACTGCTATGAGCGCGTGCTCTGGACCCTTGCCCCTGCTCTGTGCCGTTAGTGCGGATGCTTTGTCTCCTCCCACTTCGTGGTCAGAGGTAATCACCACGTGTTTCGTAGAGAAGAATGGGTAAACGAGAGCACGCTTCCCCTAAATCCAGTCTGGGTCTCGAGGCGAATAGATGATATTGGTAGTGTCCGCTTCATAGAGTTGTCTTAATGTATTCGCTATGCGGAGAGAAAGTCGTGTTTCTGCGCAGGAGTTACCGTGACGTCAGAATGACACCAACCTCTGATTGGCTTTGATTGAAAGGCTAGTGGGTAGACCTTAGTGCTAAATGCCTTAAAGTCTACCTACTAATTTTTTTTTTTCAATCAGCCAATGAGCTTTTTACGTTCCGGCATCCTCGCAACACCTAGCAAGATGCAGTCGATCTTGCGCTCCCCATAGAGGTCCAACTGGCGCTAGTGCGCGGTTTCAAATCAGCGCAGAGTGCGGCCAGCTTGAAGTTGACTTCCGGTAATGCGCTCTAATGGGAAAGAGTGAGTGCAGTATCTCCCTTCGCGTGATTATAGGTGTTTTTGAGCAGCCCCGCTTCTAGAACCTGTCTGCAGCCACCGTGCATGAAGAATCCTTTGTTTCGGTCGCCAGTCTGAAAACAGTGGGTACGCCTTGCCCGACTATCAGACGATCTTCCCACACCAGAAGCAAGATGGCGGCGCCCAGAGGCCCGGTACCTGCAAACGTCTTATAGCTGCAAACTCGATAACATTTTTTTTTTTTTTTTTTACAAAGGCGTTCTAAGACAAGGACGTAAAGTAAGAGACCCAACACAAGCGCTACTTTTAATTGAATTTTTATTGAAACAATACGAACTATTTATACATCGAATCGGGCTTCTCAAGCAGAAATGCAAACTTTTGACATGTTAAATGAACTGTTGGGGCACTTATGCAATTGTCACCTCCTTGCATTCTGATGTTGAATGAGTTCGAGATCTTGTTTCTCAACTACCCACAGTTTTCTTTTCTTTTTTTTTCACTAGAGGAGCGCAAGGAAATTCATCGCAAAGAATAGCCCAATTGCCCGAGGGGCAATTGGGCTATTCTTACTAACTACTAACAGCGCGTTCTCTCCTGCACTGGCACTTACTAACAGCGCGTTCTCTCCTGCACTGTCACTGACGCGCCAGCCCGTTTGGCCTACGTACGCATCACCGCATGTCATGGAAATTTCATGCACACCGAGGAGGCGCAATCTATGAACTGTTCTGAGTGTTTCTTTTTGCACCGTCATCTGTTTTTTGTTCATTTTCTGGCAGAGACCAGACAGCATTTGTAGGACCAAAAACTAGGGATGCTGCGAACATTTTTCGAACCGAAGGTTCGATGATCGATTCGAGCGGTTCGAAAGGTTTGAAAGATTTTCGAATTTTCGACCTTTCCCTATCGACAAATTCGACGGAAGTCGAATTTTCGAACTTCTTAAACTAAGAAGTTCGACGCTTTTCGAAGTTTCGAACTTATTACGCTGCAAAATTCGATGCTTGTCGAACTTTCGAATTTGATAGACTAAAAAATCGAAGATTTTTTAACTTCCGAATTTCTTGCACTAAAAAGTTCGAAGCTTTTCGAACTTTCGACCTTCCTACGCTAACAAATTCGTTAATTTTCGAACTTTCGAACTTATTAATCTAAGGAATTCGAAAATTGTCGAACATCGATTCCTGCAAAGTCAAAAGTTCGACGAACTTCGAACTTTCAAGGTAAAAGTTCGAAGTTAGTCGAACTTTGAAAGACCGGCGGGCAGTTTCATTTAGATTCAAGCAGTGACGTACATTCGTGTTTTTTTTTTTTTGTTTTTTTTTTTTCGAATTTTTACATGCGGTGCCGCATTCCTTACGGAAGACAATGCCGTTTATTTCAATCAACTGGGATGTTTGGTTTTAAAGAAATAGGTTCCCAAAGAAGCTAGAAAGACGACGCGTTTTTTACAATTGTCGTTTGTGCCATATTTGAAGCGCGCTATAGACTAAGCTATTTCTGGTGGAGATGTTAAACTTTTTAAGAATGATCTATAGATAGCCTCGGTAAGTGTCGTCTGAAGATATGATTATTGTTGTTCAAGGCGAGTTTCGAAGAAATATCCAAACAATTTTGCCCTAAACTTGGTAATTTTTTTTCGTCTAAATTGTTTGAGGTATCACATTCAAATTAACACCACAGACAGTACATATCATTGCCATCTGCAGTATACAAAGTAATGTATTTATTGTTTTTTTTTCACGTTGAGGAATAAATGACCTCAAGGGGGAAGATTTCTAAAATTTTTCAAGTTCAGCACGGCATATAAAAAATTAAAAAAGCATTATTACTTTGTTTTTTCTCATTTCACGTTTCTGGGACGGGTTTCCTTTAGCCCGTACATATTTTGGTAGGAGAAACTTGTTTCGTAGTTCTAGGCCTCTGAATATGCAGGAATACAACACTTCCGGCGAGTTCAGCTTTTTATTTTTGCATTTATTGTTCTGTTTATTTATTTATTATTTTTTTACGAATGGCACAGTTATTTAGGTCGAAAAGACATAGCTTTGAACTTCCGAACCACCGAGCATGTGACGAGTAGTGCCTCCTGACAACGAGTTTCTAACAATGACCATCTACGCGATCTTTTATGCAGTGAATAGCGACGGTAGCTGTACATATGCATAAATAATTTCGGGTATTCTTTAACAGTCCGAAATACCGGAGGGGGGGAAATAGAGTCTCCCCCCCCCCCCCCTTTCCCCCGTTTTTCCTCTTCCGACGCCACTGGTCTGGTAGAACACTCCTCGACCTCAACTTTTGAGGTCGAGGAGTGCTCTTGGCTCGGCGTTTCTTCCGTCCCGAAAAATAAACCTCCAAAGCAATTACAAACTA